ACACACACACACACACACACACACACACACACACACGATTTCTACCGGGTTTGGGGACTGAAACTTCCCGAAATCACAAAAGAGTTCCCCTACCGGGTCTGTATACTTCGTGACTTTGTTCCCGGTTACCGGGTCTGTATACACTTTGTTATCAAAAAGACATTCGCAATCTTCTTTTAGATCTTGATTAATCTGGGCCTCAAAACTAGATTTATGTCTACCCTGAGCCAAGAGGGCACTGAAACTTTCAGAATTCACAAAAGATTTCCCCTATTGGGTCAGTATACTTCGTGACTTTGTTCCCGGTAAGTTTTTTTGCCACAAGTGGATAGCTAGAGAACGACAACTTCAACGCCATCGGCCGATATTTATGGTAACAGCCATCTTCTTTGACCTCGCAAGGGGGATGCCTGCCGCGTATTCTTATCGTTATTCCAAAAATTGTAATGATATTGCGTAGCACGCGGTTTGCACTGGCAGTTTCCAAGCTCCTTCCCCATGGCTAGGGCAGGTTGGGGCAACTTTGACAGGTTTGACTTTGTGTAGTACCGCAAAAGTAACGGATACTGCTCCTCTGCCTTTTTATGAAAGAACACAAAACGTCTTGGTATCGTTGTGACAAGCAACCATTCTACTTACACTCGATTATTATGTTCTTTACTCTATTTTTGCATTCCAAATTTTCAATCGTCGCGTGGGGAAACTTCGACAGGGGTTGGTGCAAATTCGACCCCCGCATGGGGCGGGGCAACTTCGGCATAGCCTGTGACAGTACTACCAGGGGCTGTGGGCAACTTCGACAGGGGGCGGATCTTCAACAGCATTGAGATTCAACTTATTGTGTTCTCTCTCCCTCTCTAACTCCTCTCTGCTGAATTCTCTGTCTATCTCTCTCTCTCCTTGACCTCCTAACTTCTCTTTACCCGCCGCCCCCTCTCCCTCACTGTTCGAGCACGTGCGCACATGAAGACACACACTCGCATCATATGTGCACTCACACACACACTCACACACAAACACACACACACACACACACTCACACACACTCACACACACACACACTCACACACACACACACACACACTCTC